CCCCAAAACCCCAAAACCCCAAAACCCCAAAACCCCACTTTTCGAATCAACAATTGGACTAAAGTCAGTTATGAAATGGAATCCTCGTGCTGTTTTTGCATCTTCAAGTACATTATTCGCTTGATGAGGTCCTCTCTCTGTGACTGAGTGATGGACGAATTCGGAACCTCTACATAACCTTGAGAAATTGAAGAATTTCGGTGATATTCCTCATACTCTGAGTAAGCTTCAGGTGACTTCCGAGAAGACTTTTCTCACTCTGATTGATCTACTCTGTTTTCAGCATTTTTGGCACTATCCCCAGAGATGCCTCATAAATTAGTGACTGAGCCTAGGTAGCCGCCCTCCTCTTCTTGGAGATCTCTGGCCTGATGTCACTGAGTATGAGTGCTATTGTCATCAGATGCTTCTAGAAGTCCAAATGATTTATAAGTGTTATCTGATAGACAATAAAGGATGAAGCCCTTTAGCACTTACTTGAATCATTAATGTCACTTTTAATCGGCCTGAACGTCATCTTATTAACCTTATAATCATATTTTCGATATCTTCTCGGATTTCTCAGTTGAATCTGAGCTTGAGAGATACCATCAGCTTGGTTCAGATCAAGATCAACCAAGGGTCTCGGAGATGGCTCCTGAGATTTTTCTATGGCTCTTTCTCTACATTTCTCATCTTTTGATGTCTCATTTGACAGCACGTAGAGGTCTTCCTCAGTGATGGAGCTGGTTTCAATAGCTCTGTGAAACGTGTCGTCAATGGGGGTTTCCTCTACATGGTTTTCGGACAAACTCAGATTGGCTATATCCTCGATCTCATTTGTATACCCGCTTTCTTCATCTGAAGATCTCTCAATGTGCTCTTGAGTATCATGTGGGTTACTGTAGAAAGGACTCGTAATCAAGGAGCTATCGATGTGGTTCTGGTTCATTGCCACACTTAGCTTCCGCAACATACCCTGACTGTTCTTCTGAAAGGCCAGAGACCCTGTAGATTCCTCTGAAGGGTTAGCTCTATTTGATATGAGCTTAGTGCCATAGAACTTGTGTAGCCTTTCATATGTTACTTCTCTACTCTGGTCTGTTAAACACTGGTGATGTGAGCTCCTAGTTCCTCGATAGCTAGTAGACTTGACTTCAGAACTTTCAAGGATGTGGCTTCTAATACTCTGGCTGACTCTCCCAACCGTCTTGATCGAGGATTTGGTGTAAATTTTCTTCTGCTTGATCGAAGATTTCGGAGGTTTAATCTTGAGTCTGTTGACCTTTAAGGCTTTCAGCTCATTTTTGCTCTTCTCTGTTGGCAATATTACCTCATCTTTGACCATATCTGCATTAAGAGAAGGAGGCTTTCATTTATGATACCCTGAGTCAGCTGAACAAAAGTTAATATTTTTCAGAATAGCCACACTTCCTGGACAAATTTTGATTCGAGCAGCTTTTAGTTTGGCCCTTTTCTGCTCCAAATTTCCATTTTTTTGATCATTCCAAGTGTAAAGATCCTTGACTGATCGAGACATTGACTGGCTCTTTTTGTTAATATTAGGGCGAAAAGTCTGATGAAGGTTAGAAAATTGCCTGGCATCTGCTCCCATTGAACTATTCCTACTAAGCATTACCAACTAGTAGGCTTACTTGCTTCCATTGATTTTTCTTCCAGAACGATAAAGTCGCTCGAAGGTGTTCTTGTTCAATTTCTTAGCAATTTTTAGGGATTTCTTGTTAATTACAGGTTTACCTTTACATTCAGAGAGCTGGGTCTTCAACCTCTCAGCCTTGATATTCTCAAGTCGTTCCTTACTCTGCTGATGCCTGAAGTCTAGATAGCTCTGTACTGAACTCCTGTTCGAGTTCAGTATAGAAGTGTTCCACTTCTGCTCAGTCAGCGAAGAGATGACAGACGTTTGGGAGAGCTCAGGCTTGAGTCCACTTCTAGAGTTCCGTCCTCTAGAGGAGCTGTCTGGCACAGTACCGCTTATCTTGGCCTGGCTCCGCTGGTTCCGGGCTGAACTAGCCCTATAATTTCAGGAATTTCCCTTACCTTTGCATTTTGGTTGTTGAGAGAGCAGAAGGCTCGCTCTTTTCAGTTGAGTAATTGGATATCGCCTTGCCGTTCCGGCTTATTCTCTTTGTAGAATTCTGAAAATCCTCAGCCATAGCTCTTAAAGTATCTTGCTGTTTTTGAAGCATATCTCTGAAACCAGTCTTATTCCATCTTTGAGATCAAGGTGCTGGCATAGTCGAGTACAGATTAGTCACTTGGGATTGATTATTATTTGGCTGAATCCGATCTTTATGAGTCATATCTTTCTTTCCTGTGGCTTTAATTTCCTTGTTGGTGGTAATTTCCGTTCATTGTGAAAGAATTTGGCTGTAGTTTTTGGGAGAAAAGTAGTCTAAAGAATCAGCCAGATCGTTTAATGGATAATAGAGAGTGGTTTAATGACTAAATACCTTTCTCCTGTTTGGACTGAGTAAAATTAGCCTTCTCTGCTTGATAGAAGCTTTGAGAGAGATCTAAAGCATCTCATCCCTCAGATAAATCCTCAACATGAAAAGGTGACTCATCATCATTTTGGTTTTGGTCTTGGATGCATTGCTGAAGTTCAGGAGTTTTTCTCACAAGATCTATTTCTAATAAAATATCTGACTGATTAATAGTTATAAATAATTGTTTAAACTAAAAAGATTCCTCCAACCAAATGAAAGTTTCTATTGAAGATTCAGGTAAATTCTCGAAGCTATAAATCAAAATTTTCACATCTTCAAAACACCTAGGTCTAAAATAGGCCAAACAGATACCTTGAGTGTCCAAATAATCTACGTCAAAATATTGCTGGTCACGAGTGATCCTTTGGATGCTTCTATAAGCTGCTTGTTTATATGTGTCCTCCGCCTCCATTTTTCAAATTTAAATTATATTTTGGACCAAAAATATCAAAACTATGGGGTTTTGGGGTTTTGGGGTTTTGGGGTTTTGGGG